CCCCGCCCATCACAAAGGCTTCTAAGGAAAGGCAGCTCAAAGAAGGCGAAAGCCGCAGGCCGTTTAGCGACGATCGAAAATTTCCGGCCGCGCGAGACCTCGGAAATATGGTGAAGTCTTGGGCCGTTTAGCGACGGGCTGAAAGCCGAGAAAGGAAATTCGGAGCGCGCCGCTAAACGGCCCAGCGCTTGCTTCGCTTCTGGGAGCCCCCAGCGCCTGGAAATTTTGCTGCGTCGCTAAACGGCTTGCGACCGGCAAAGGTTTCTCAGCCATCAAGAAGCTTTCTTTTGAAAGGCAGTTTGAAAAGAACGAAAGCCGCAGGCCGTTTAGCGACAACCGAAAATTTCCGGCCGCGCAAGACCTTGGAAACAAGGTGAAGTCTTGGGCCGTTTAGCGACGGGTGCAAAAAGCCTTTTAGGTTGCGGCCGACGCGGCCAGAGCAGCGCCCTTGCTCGGGGCTTTTACTAGGCCTTCACTTCACCAAGGTCCTCTGCTAAGCACCTTATTAGGGGCCTTACTAGGGGCATTACTGGGAGCCTTACGAGGGGCCCTTGCCAGGCCTTAGTAGGTACCGGCGGAGACCGAAAGTCCCCAACCTCTGGATATGGCGCCCGGATGGCCGATCCGATATCGCGCCGCGCGAGCAATTTATCAGCGGCCGGACGGCCGGAAAACATGATTTTTCGGGCACGGAGCTTTTTAGTAAATGTTTTTGCTAAAGCTTTCATTAAAAGCTCTTGCTAGGCGCCTTTACTAGAGCCTTTGCTACGGGCCCTTACTAAGCCCTTACTAGAAGCCCTTACTAGAGGCTTTTACTAGAGGCCTTTACTAGAGGCCCTTGCTAAGGGCCATTGGTAGGGGTTCCAAGTAGCCGCGTTTTTTTAGCTTGCGGCGCAGCCCAAAAGGCCGAACCCCTAGATTTGGCGCCCGGATGGCCGATCCGATATCGCGCCGTACAAGCAGTTTATCAGCGGCCGGACGGCCGCGAAAACACGATTTTTTTGGGCGCGGAGCGTTAAAGCTTTCATTAAGAGCTTTTGCTAAAAGCCCTAGTTCAAATTCCGAGTAGCCGCTTTTCTTAGCTTCCAAGGAGGCTTCAAAGCCGAGAAAAGGAAATTCGGAGCGCGTCGCTAAACGGCCTCGCGCTGTCATTGTTTTTGAAAGCCACCAGCGCAAGGAAATTTTGCTTCGTCGCTAAACGGCCTGCGACCGGCACGCCCTCCACGCCCATCAAAAAGGCTTCTAAGGAAAGGCAGCTCGAAGAGAGCGAAAGCCGCAGGCCGTTTAGCGACGATCAAAAATTTCCGGCGACTCGGGGCCTCGGAAACAAGGAGAAGTCTTGGGCCGTTTAGCGACGGCTGCAAAAACCCCTTAAGTGTATGGCCGACATGGTCAGTGTGGCAAGGCGAATTCAGAAAACATGGAAGAAGACAAGGCGGAAAGGTCGGAGAGCGCAACATGAGCAGGAAGGCTAAGCAAGAAAGAACAAATGACAAATTGATTTGCGTGTTGACTTGGCTTGCGAAGCATTGTCTCTCCTGGCCAAGATTGAAGTAGCTTGTCTTGGATTTGTGAACCCCGTCGATCCATTTTTCAAGCGCTCGAGCCGTTGCTGAGAAAGCGACCCAAGCAAACATGGCCCCTCGCGCGTGCCTTGGCTCTGTCGCGAACGCAGAGGGCGAGGCGGCGGACCCTTGCGTCTTCAATGGGAACGGAACAGGGCGCCCGGCGCGCGCGCTGACCCACGGGCGCTGCGTGTGGTGTTGCCCAGAGGAAATGAACCGACGCCTGGCAAGCCCAAAGCTCGAGAAGTTTCTCATCTACACGCTCGTCAACTTCAAGGGCGCGGACGGGGAAGTGTTCAAGAAGGCGACGAGGCGGCTGCCAGAACAGCGCCGGGCGGACATCTTAGCGGAGGTCGACGCGCGGCTGGCGCCCGAAGAAGAAGACGTGGAAATGGCGCCAGCGGCGGAAGAGGCGGAAGGCGAGAGCGAAGAAGAGGAGACGCAGGGGCGGAGCCCTGAGCGCTTTGCAGAACTAGGCCTTGTTGCAGATGACCCGGGCGAGGAGGAGGGTCAGCTGGACATCGACGCGGCTGACGCTGGTGAGGCGGGCTACGGCTACAACGACATTCTGGACAAGGAGCCGCCGTTTGAGCCCCTGGAGCTGGACGACAAGCAGGAAGAAGAGAACGAGAAGACTCAGGCGGAGGCGGAGGCTGCCCCCAAGAAGAGGCGGCTGCAAGGCAAACAAGCAGCTCCCGTCTACGGGCCTGCGGCGCCGTTACCCCCAGCGGCCACGGCAGCCGGGGTTGCGGCGCTTGCTGGTCAAAGGCACCGAACGCGCCCGCCGCGCCCGAACGAGATTTGCCCCGGTCGAAACGGAGAGCCTTGCTCCTGGTCGTCCACGCAACTGGGCGAGCCCGCCGGCCTCCACACGAATCGAGGGCAAACTGCTTGCGCTTTCTGCGGCGACGAGCAACTCAACAAGGTCCTGGCCCAACAGAATGGCTTTCAATTGACTAAGACCCTCAAGGCGCTGCGGGAGCTCCACAAAGTCAAGTACGAGGCGGCGCTCGAGAACTTGAAGAGCCGGAAGGGCGAAGCCTTTGCGGCGGACTTTGGAGAGCGAGTGGATTTCGCCATCTATCGCGCCGTAGAGCAAGCGCGAGCGCCCGCACGGATGCTGCAGCGCCGCGCCCGAATCCAGGGCCCGCTCAAAGCCGACGCCTTCCTGGACATGTATATGCGAAGTTTTTTTCTTGACTTTTGTTGGATTCTTTGTCTAATACTAGTTTTTTGCAAAAAACTTGAACCATTCAATTTTCACCAGAAGAATATTGAATCATTCGTGTTTTTTGGAAACACACAAAAGTTCACACACACGGCCGCAACTTGACACACTGTGGATCACGTTTGCGTCTGACGGACGGGGGACGCATTGATTAAAACTAGGCGCGGCCGCAAGGATGTGTTGCTTGCCTGAGCATATAGCTGCAGACAATTGTTTTACCGTAGGCGCAGAAGTGCAGACTGCACGCCATGATCTATCCCAAGGTTTTAAATGGCTTAAAACTGCTGATTCCCATCTGTTCTTCCAGCTTGGTCACAGGAAGATGGGCGCCCGTTTTTCACCTCCGCCAGGCACACACAGGCCCGCAGATAATGTGTGAGTGCAAATTGTTGGTTCAACCGATTCACTGACAGCTGGCAGCACGTACTTTCAGTCCCGATTAGTCAGTTGCATGTGTACCCTTGGCTAACTGAAAGGTAAAATTGCAGCTTTCCATCTTTCAACTCATCCACTGAAAGATGGAAATCAAATTTCACCTTTCAGTCCTGCCAGTACGCATGTGTGGGCCAACACTGAGAGGTAGAAGCGGTGGTTTTCAGTTTCAACTGACCCGTCGAGGCTGACAACGCTGTGCTTTCACGCATATGGCTTTGAACTGAAAGGTAAAATTGCCGTTTTCCATCTTTCAGCTGATCCACTGAAAGATGGCAAATATAATTTTACCTTTCAGCTCCGCCAACGTGAGCGCAGGTCGTGGTGTAGATTGAACACCCTATTCGCAAGCTGAAAGGTAAAAATCGTGGTTTCCAGCTCTCAACTGACTCATTAACGCTGGAAACGCTGCCTTTACCTTCCAGCCGACACTTACAGAGTTGTTTGTGTGTACCTAAGTGAAAGGTAAAATTGCTGTTTTCCATCTTTCAACTGATCCACTGAAAGATGGAAAATGTAATTTTACCTTTCAGTTTCGCCAATGTGAATGTGTGTGGTGTACGTTGAACACCCTACGTGCAAGCTGAAAGGTAAAACCTTTTTCAGCGTTCAACTGACCCATTGAACGCTGGAAACGCGGCCATTTTACCTTTCAGCCTCGATTGAAAGGGCAGACCTGCGCGTGGCCTACTAAAAGGTAAAGCTGCCGGTGTCCATCTTTCATCACACTGAAAGATGGAGGCGCGTACGGCTTTACCTTTCAGTTTTGCAGACATGCATGTCACTCTCGCTGAAAGGTAAAAACTGTTGCTTTCCATCTCTCGGCTGTTGAGCTGACAGATGGAAACACAACGTTTTTACCTTTCGGTTCTGCCATATATTTGACAGGCGCCGTCGCATGTTCGACGGCTCAAGCTGCGGGAATGCCGATGGGCATCACGGCCCGCCTGAAGCTGCTGGCAAAGCGGACCAGTGCGCCCATTCAGCCAGCTTGAGCCTGCGTTGGGATGATTGCACGCGTGTGCCACAATGCATTTACTTATTTGGCTCTAGCTTTTTGAGGCACATGCCGCCAGAGGCGCCGCGCACCCCGGAACAAAGCCAAAGCTCGCGCCCCGAGCCCTGCAGGGACCCTGAACTCGCACAGGCGGACCAGTCCCAACAAGCGCACGCAGAACAGCAAGCTCCTGCGCAGCCAGCCCCCCGCCGCCGCTCAAAATCCCGGAAGCGCGACCTCGTTGAAGTAGATCGCCTGGTTGTCTCTGCCCGCAGGGTGCTCAAGCGAGGCACCCACATCCTGGAAGACCAGCTCAAGTTTCAAAGGGAACAAGAGCTTCGCGAAATCTGGCTGCACCACCGCATCGCCAATCTCGAGCTCATCATAGAGGAGCTGACCGCGCCAACCTCACCAGCCCCGGACCGGTCCTTGCAGGAGGGCGAGCTTCGCCCAGGGCGGGTGCCGCAGCAGGTCTCCTTCGCACAGCAGGCTTCGCGGGTCGCCAAGCCCAAGGCGCCAGTGCGGCCGGGCCCACACGCCTAGCTTTGGCGGAAGGGGGGGGGGGAACAAGCCAGCAAGCAGCGCAGCTCACAACCTGGATACCCTACACTTCAAACACACGCCCTGCGCACAGTTGGTTCACGCATGCATCATACGCAGCACGCATGGCGTATTGCCACTCGCCTCGCCGCCCACACCCCCGCAATTGTGTGTTCAAAAGCCAATAGCAGAGCGCATCACCAGCACCTTGCATCAATCTAGATCTGGTTTGGCTGCCATGGCATGCAATCTGGAAGAGGATGGTCACCAGCTGGAGGCCTGCTTGTGGTTGCCACGCGTCGCAGAAATTGCAATTCTTTTCACCAGGCCACCGTGGTGAACGCCTTGGGCAAAGCATTGGCACCCCTCCTTTGCCACGCCAGCAGCGCCACGGCTTTAAGGGCTCACGTGTTCCTTCCCAGCTGCCAGCCTGCTTGCCCAGGTGCGGACTCTGTGGCGGAAGGCGCGACGAAGTTTGCGGACATCTCCATCAGCCTCCCGCTCAGCTTTGTGGAGCATCAGATGTACGCTCCGGTGCACGCGACGCTCACATGCTTGCGCTGCTTGTTTGCAGGTAACGCGCTCACACTTCGCATTCGCATTCGGTCTGGCACGCGCTGAGGCGATTTGAAGGTCCCACGCACGCCGGCGCCCAGGACATTTGAGGCCGCAGCCACTCAGCCGAAGCACATTCACTGACCCACAACACACACACGCGCCCCGTTTTTTGCCCAGGTCTGCATCGCGGCTTCGACCATGAACAGCTCTGAGCAGGCCCTCCTGGCTTCGCTCCTCAAGCGCGCTGTCGCCCGGCTGAGAACCCTCGCGTCGAGGACAACGTACTTCTGGCATGTGTTATTTTTGGGCCGATGCTAGGCAGCATGTGTGCCTCCGATAACGCTTGCCAGGGGGGCCAACAGCGTCAAGATCGAGGTGCTCAAGAACTTGCCTTGGCCTTACCTTTCATTCCAGTTTTGAACTTACGGTCATGTGTCTTCTGAGTTTGGCAAGTTGCTGGAATAAGGATTTGGAAAAAGGAGCCGATCGAGGACTCCTCCAGTTTGCGCGGCGAGCTGGATGAGCTGTGTCTCGGCTTGACAACGTCACAAGTGTGCTACTCCCAATCCAACTGCCACTTCCCCCCGCCGATGTCGTGACCCCAGGCTGCACCAATCTCCGGAGCCTGCTTCGTCCGCTGCGGACACGGCCGCATCGTCAGTGCCCAGCTCCTCGGAGCCAGCTGGCGACGTTTTGAAGGCCTGTGCTGCAGGGGGTTGCGCGGACAGGCTCATTTCTTGTTTAGTTGGGTTTTCGCAGGAGCTCAAGCGCAAATATGAGGAGGCGTGCCTGGAAATCTTCGGCCACGCGCCTCTGCTTAGAGTGGGACAGCTGAGAAATTGACGATGCAGTTTTGACAAACTGCATCGTCATTTTCCAAGAATTGAAATTGAAAAGTGTCAGTTTCAGCGAAACTGCACTTTACAATTTCATCTTGAGTTGCGCCCTGTGCCACCTAGGGCCCAATCGAGGTGGAGGACGAGCTGGAGCCCACAGCGGCGCTGCTCGACCGGGACCGCCTGCATGTGGACCCTGCTGCACAGGACTGCACGTGGCGTGCTAGCTAGCGCATCACAGCCATTAATGTACGGCTGTTTGCAGCCATACATGCGTGGCAGGACCCAGCTGCAAAGGCGGCCAAGAAGGTCGCTCCGGATGCCAAGGCCGTCAAGGCCCCCAACGCTGCCGACCCCACGGCCGCCGACCTCAAGCCTGCAAAGGCGCCCAAGAAGGCTGCCAAGGCCAAGGCCCGGGCAGCCTCCCCAGAGGAGATCAAGTTGCAGGCCCAGCGGGTCTTCGCGAGAAGGATGAGGCCCAAGACCCCAGCCGCACTGGAGGTCTGGGACGTCATCGTGAATGTCTGGTGCGAGCGGCTGGCCTGAAAGTACTGTTCATGGTGAGTTCGCCACATGTGCCTCATTGATGCGTTCCGCATCTCAGGAAAATCGCCCCGAGCCTGCAGTTCAAGCACAACATGAAGTCGCAGTACCAGTGGTGGGACACAGCCCACGCCAAGGTGCACAGCATGCCAGGGGCGCGCACAGCCACGGCAATGAAGGACACACTCCTCATGCTGGCACCGGTGTTTTTGACCGGGTTTGACCCGGCCGAGTAGCCATCCGGGCGCTTTTAAACAGGCTGAGGCGCAGTGCCGAGCACATCCAGCAGCAGTGCAAATCCACCACACCATCTCAAGCCACAACCTCAACAGCATAGGCAGATGCCAGACATCAAGCAGACCTGCAAACAAGCAAGCCGCCACACTTTACCCAAGCTCACAAACAAACGAGCGCCAGCCAGGGGGGGGAGAAGAACCAGCTAGAGCGAAGAGAAAAACCGCACGCGCAAAACAACTCACGCACGCACGCAGCAAACTGTACCCCAGCAATCTGCCGGTCTTGTCGCAGCCTGTTTTTTTGCTCGCGCTCCGGATCGATTTCCTGTCTATAGCCAGCATATGATGCTGGTACGATGATTGAGCCAAAAATGCATGGACCGTCATTTGCGTTGGGGACCCAGCCAGTTGGTCCTGCAATTCAAGTACCAATTGGGGAACCACACATCTTTCACACGCTAGCTTTGCTGGACCTTCTGCTGTTTCTCCAACAGAGTACTTTGCACCTTGCGCTTGCCTTCCTGCTCATGCATGTGCGTTGGGTTGTTGCATCGCCTGTCAGGTACCAATGTGCTGAACACGAACTTTGCGACTGATGGTGCCTCCCCGCCCGTGCTTGAGTGCTTTCACACGCGCATTGCGACTGCCTAGCTTGTGCTTGTGGGCCGAGACATTTGGGCTTGCAACCTGACCTAGCCGGATCGGTTTGCGTTAATTTGTTTGTGGCGCGTTGGGCGCTAGCCTCAAACACATGTTGACAGGGCGATTGAATTGAAAATGAATTGCTATCTCTGGAAAATGTTTGACCTTGATCCTAGGCTTATGCGCACGCTGGTGGAGTCTGCGTTGCAAGGCAATGTGCCAAAGCTGGCGATCCTTTGCATTCTCCTGCTGCCCAGCCCTGAGAAACAATTTAATAACTGCAACTTCTTGCTCCTGATTTCCTAGGATATGGAACGCTGAAGTGCCTGTGAGTCCGAAGTACGACGCTTGCGAGTTTTTCTCGGGGAAAGGAGCTGTCAAGGACGCATGGTGGTTTCATTTCAGTTGGTTTCAACATGCATCACTGCGCAGGACGCTCTCAGGCGGGAGTGCTTCAGGGTGAGCGCCCATGATTGGGAGCTTCACCGCTCAATGGACATTTGCAGCCCTGCGGGCATGGCGCCCACGCCTTGGTGTGTCTCTGTTGCTGGGTTTGTCTGATTGTTGGCTAATCTTTTGGCTTAGGCTACTCTTGCACACTTTGATGTGCCTGGACCCAGATGGACCCCGGCCGTGCACCTACTTGTCTTGCTTCTGGGGGCTTGCCTGTGAGCTCAGGTTTGCGCTTTTTGCGCCTGTTTGTGGTACCTGGGTATGGATGTCAAGAAGCTCCGCTCGCTCGCTCTGATTTGTTCAACTCTGCGCTCCCTTTTGAACGCTCTTCCCAACCCAGGACCAGATCGTGTCCTTGGCTGGGAGGACAACTTTTGCGTCGCTCAGGCCAACTTGATGGTTGCAAGGCCAGGAAGCTGCACACATAGACTCCTTTGCCTGAGATGCCTTTCCTGCGCAGAACCTTTTTGGCCATCCGCATCATCGAGTGGCTTCGTGGCTCTTGGGTGCTTGAGCAGCCAGCCACCTCGATGATGTTTGCTCACCCTAGGGCACCCGCAGACCACTACAAGGTGAATGTGTATCTTGGGGCCTACCTCCACTGGACTTCCAAGCTTACCAGCTTTTGGTCAAACCGGCTTCTTGCTTGCCTTAATGGAGCTGCCGATGAAATGCGCGCGTTCAGATGTGCCTAGGATGTGGGTGGCCGGTCTTTACCGCAAGTTCACAAATGAGCGCAAGGCTATGATGCTGGAGCGCCGCGAAGAGCTTAAGAAGGCCCCTCCTACATTTCGCAACGCGAACGGGCACGTTTGTGGCACGCGCGCGCTTCATGAAACACAGCACTTTGGCTTCAAAACAATTTGGTGGCGGTGCTTGTTTTGGCTGTTGCTTGGCAGCTTGACATTTGAGCGTGCTTCATCAACCTAAGGGAGTACCCTAGCGAACTGGGGTCGGCTATTGCCTGGCTGGTGTGTGATCATGAAAACCGCGATGATGCACCACTGCCGAGCTACCGCCCCAATGATGTGTTCGATTACCACTCAGGGTGCTCCCATGCAAATTGTTCACACACCGCATTCTACGCGAACCATCCTTTGATCCAGGTACAAAGCCTTTTACAAGGACCACGTCCTTGACCTCGGGGATCAGTGGGAAGACGCGCGGGCCTGACTTACAGATTGCTTGAAGTTAATTACGCGTGTGGCTTATTGTCTCAGGCACAGCTATGGCCAGTGCTGGTCTATCTGAGCCGGAGCCGCACGCTTCGCGTCCCAAAGGGCGGATGGCGAAAGCTGCTTAAGGACATGGGCTTACGCTCTGACCTTTGAGATTGGGGGTGAAAAACTTACTCTCGAGCGTGCCGCGTGATATTGCAGATGTGTCAGTAACGCCTTACTGAGTACATCTGCAAACATACGCGACATGCGCACTTGCAAAGCTTGCGAGTGTGGATTTGTACGGTTTTGTACGGTTTTGTACGGGTTTTGTACGGGTTTTGTACGGGTTTTGTACGGGCCACGCACGATAAAGAACGTCAACTAAAACTAAAGCTAATTAAATAGTGTGACCATATTGGCTTTGTACGGTTTTGTACGGTTTTGTACGGTTTTGTACGGTTTTTGTACGGACCGAGAGGAAGTGGAAGTGCTCCGAGCTCCCTTCATGAAGTTGCGCGGGGGTACTGCAGGCTGCCCAGCTGCGTCTGCGACTCCACGGGAAGGTGTCCTCCTGCCTCGCTGACCGATGGGTTCGAGCCCGCATCGTTGTCCCAGAAGGTCACGACATCAATTTTGCCACGCCACGCCCGGCGGGGCGCTGGACGGAAGCGCGGCCGCTAGGCCGCAGAAGCTGCGGCGGGGCCCCGCTGCGCCCGCGGCCAACGCGCGGGCAAGAGGCCACCCAGAAAGCGCGCAAGTTTGAAAAGAAAGCTTTCAGAGCGCGCGCTGACTCAGCGCAAAGCGCGCGCCAGGGAGGAACCGAGCCCGGGACCACCCGCTTCAGAGACGGACGCGCGACCAGTAGGCCACCAGCCCCGCGGCGGGGCCCCGGCGCGCCCACGGCTCAGCCGCGGCCAAGAGGGCCCGACCTAGAAAGCGCGCAAGTTTAGCGCGTTGCAAAATTTGCGATTTTCGCCCCGAACTTGGATTTGAACAACGAAACCGATTTAGAAGCTTGCGGGACACTGAAAAGAAAGTCTTAAGAAAGCCCCCTGCGGCCCGTTGTAGGGCAAACATTTAAATATATATACTAGAGTAGAGAATAGAGGTTTAGGGTTTAGGGTTTAGGGTTTAGGGTGTCACTTGTTGGAGTGTGAGAAGTGTCCTTAACGGGGCGCCTATCTAAAACCTTTCACGGCGCCCCTCATCAATCACTTCTCACACACCGTTCGGGGTTTTCCCGCCCCAAGAAGCCACCAGCACTAAAGCTTTTAGGGCTTAGGGTAATTTACCCCCATCCCCCTATCAAGGGGGCTTAGGTTTCACCAAAGTAGGGGCTCAACTTGAAAGAAGTAATCTACCCCCAACCTCCTTGTCAAGGGGAAGCTTCAACAAAAGCAGAAGCTCAACTTGAAACAAGCCACCAACTACCAGCTAGAGACGTGTGACTTCTGCTACTTTTCAGGAGGCCTCAGTTGAGAAGCCCAAAGCGCAGGCATCCGCGCGACAAAAGTTTAGGCTGCGCAGCCAGTCTTTTTTTGGCTCTATGATCGTCGCTTGCAGTTGCGCGAGGCCAGAGCATGGGTCTTGCCGCAAGACGGAGTCTTAAGGCCTTTAGACCAATAAAGCGGCCATTGTTGATAAAACGGCAATAGGTTGGCCAGCCATCGGCTTTGATAAAACGGCCACTGCCCTTGATGAAGTTGCCATTCTGCCAGCTCGGCCTGGCCGCTGATAAACTCCTTACACGGGACAGTATGAAATCGGCCATCCGCAGCCCATCTGGCCATCTGTCCGCTTCTGGTTGATAAAACGGCAATTGCGGCCACTGGCCGTCCAAGATCCCTCCGCTTTGCATCGCTCGGAAACTTGTTTCGGGAAGCCCGTCCGGCCAGCCCCCAGCGCCAAAACGACGGAAGCGAGCGCAAGGGAGGCTGTCGCGGAAGCTTCGGCCGTCACCCGGAAAATTGTTTCGGGGAGTCTGACAGGCCAGCCCCCAGCGCCAGAATAACGGAGCGCGCGCGAGCAACGGCGCGGGTTTGCCATGGCTGTTGCGGAAGCTTTGGCCGTCGCCCGGAAAGTTGTTTCGGGAAGCCCGACGGGCCAGCCCCCAGCGCCAGAATAACGGAGCGCGCGCGAGCGACGGCGCGGGTTTGCCATGGCTCTCGCGGAAGCTTCGGCCGTTGCCCGGAAAGTTGTTTCGGGAAGCAACGGGCCAGCTCCCAGCGCCAAAATTGCGGAAGCAAGCGCGAGCGACGCGCCCCTCCGATGCTGTTGCGGAAGCTTCAACCGTCGCCCAGAAAGTTTTCTCGGGAATCCCGACGGGCCCGACCCCAGCGTCAAAACGACGGGAACGAGCTTTCGGGCAGCCCGACGGGCCAGACCCAAGCCCAAACCTTCGATGATTCTTCGCGTGGCGAAAAATGGCACGCAACGCGCCCGGGCGGGTTTCTGCTTTAGATGTGGGTGGTCAAGGGGTGGGGATGCCGCTTTCGCCGCGCGCCCCCACGACCCCCGGGGTCGAGGGCGCGCTTCATCTTGGAAACCCTAAACCCTAAACCCTAAACCCTAAACCCTAAACTCAAGGCCGAGCGCCATACCGCAAGCGCTCGGCCGCAGCAGCTGCATCGGTGCTGGCGCAGAGCGAGTCCGGCATGGCGAGCGGAAGCGCCCCAAGTTGCGTTCCGCTTCTTATACAGCTTCTAAAGCTTCTTGCAAAGCTTCTTATGAAGCTTCTTATTCTTCTA